TATATATATATATATATATATATATATATATAGATGTGTGTGTGAGGGATTTAATTTAAGTTGGATTTGGGGTGTGCTCGGCACACTTTTATTTTAATATTTTAATAATAGATTTTTGGCATATTTGTGTGAGCATTTTATGAAGATCAAGATGTGTGTGAAGATTCAAGTATGACTTTGGGTGTTTTTGAGGGACAATTATTTTGTGTAATTAATCGCATCTTCAGTTCACGAACTTGACCACATTGTCGTGAATCCTTCAATTTTTTGAAAAATATTTCGTCCGGACGTCTAATATCTTGAAAAGATATTTCATTTGGACATTCAGATGTCCAGACGACAACGTGGATCACATCCTACTGGTGTACAAGCACTTCATCGTCCGGACATCCGACCGTGCAATCACTCTATCATTTAGACATCTGACCGTGCAATCACTTCATAGTTCGGACGTCCGTAGGATACACACTTAATATATACTCTACAATTGCTCAAAAGACCCACAGAATTTTCCAAAAAGCTTTTCTAAAAACACTTTTGACAAGAAAATATTATTGAAGTAAATTCATGTTTAGTAAATATAGAAAAAATTGCTACTTCTCAATAGTTTACATGAAAATTACTAAATTTATTTAACGATCATAAAGTATTTTATTATTATTTTCTTAGAGACCAAAAAATTATTAAATTATTTAACTATAAATATGTGGAGAGAAGAAGAAGAGGATCATATTTCGACTCGAGTTGGGGTCGGCTTCAAGTTGGCTCGAAAAAAGTTTGATCCAAAATTGTAGCTCTTAACTTGCCTCGTTTATTTCAATCTGATATCGATCCAAGCCAAAATTAAAATCAATTTTTGAGCTATTAACAATCTTCGAGCTAAATTCATTAGAGTTGCACTCCTAACTTCACTAAACGTGTCTATATCGAGCTGAGCTGAGGTCGGCTCAAAAAAAGATTAATCCAAAATTTCAGCTCATAGCTTGACTCAGTTTATTTTGATTCGATCGAGCAATCAACGATCTTTGAACCAAATTCACAGCCCTAAAAGGAGAGAGAGAGAAAAGAAGAGAGGGAGAGAAATATACCCTCACAAAGCAATCATGGAAGAACAATCGAATGAGGCCGGCGAGGATGCCGGTGTTGTTGGCAGAGGCGGCGGCAACCGTTTTCTGAACGACACTCTCGGCCGAAGGACAGGTCTGGTTATAAAACCCTATTTTAAGCTGGCCGTTGACGGCCGGCGGGGGCGCCACCGCGACGGCAAGGAGAAAGAGAAACAAGATCTGTTTCATCAAAGAAAGCATTTTTACCTGAACTGCTTCAGCGAGCTGTAGCTGCTAACTTTGACGTTGAGGGAGAGTCTATATATAGAGACTCCAAAGAAGAGGAACGTGTCGGTCACAGTCAAGATGTGCAAACTAAATTTATCTTCTATATTTATTAAATGATATTAAAATATAAATATAAAATTATATATTTTATTTTTCTTTTTATCTTCTTCTTTTTTCTTTTTTTCTTTTTTTCTTTTTTCTTTTTTTTTCCTTTTCTTTTTTTAATTTTTTCTTTCTCTTTTTTCTTTTCTTTTCTTTTTTTTTCTTTTTATATATATATATATAATTCTATTGTTGTACATTAAATGTGCACTGTCACAAATTTCGAGAATATCCAACAGTTCAGAATTAAAAACAAGTATGACTAAGGACGGCCTAATCGGGCGTAGCAATTCGAAGCAAAGTCGACCAGATGTTGTCATTCATGTCAGAGTTCAAAAGACTAAAGACGTCCAATTGGTCCGAGTTTGAACTCATTGGACCAAGACAGGATAGATAGACAGACAGACAAACTAACCGCCATAAGAAAGTTCGTTGAAATGGGCAATCAACCTTTCGGTAGATCAGACTGAGGGAAAGCTAGACTCAACTTCTCAGTAACTATGTCACAAGAAATTTAAATCATCCCTTCATCTCTCCTTGTTGGTGAGTAAGTTACCTATCGAGTTATATCGATTGACCATATGATCGATTGTATAGCATTGCTAAGCCAACAAGAGCTCCTCACCAGAGATCAGAGGTCAACATTTAGACCAGATCAGACAATCGACAAAGCATAGCTAATCAAGCCAGTCTTGCAGACTCAAAGTCAACTAAAGGCAGACCAACAACCTCTACCCAACATAGTCAAATGAGTAGGTCTTACCAAACTTATACTATCGAGCTCAACCAATCGAGCCAGAAGATAGCTAAGCCATAAGGCTCATACATGTAAAAACCTAAATAATATCCCATAACACTCTCATTAAAGCAGGTGCTCCAACTCTTAAAACCGATCGGATCAGGATTTCAACCAGAGTTTGTATCACCATTGGGCTATATCATAATTGGAGGTCAGGTGAAGGTAGAATTAAGTAAAGATTAGCTGAACACATTAGAGTGCTAAAAGGGCGTAAGCAAGTATTTATATTATAATAAAATTTAATTAATCATATTATGGTTTAGGTACACATGCTTACATATATATGAGCCTGAATTAGGTTCCAAATTGTCATCACATGTTGTTAATATTTTATGTTCAAATTAATTATAATATTTATTTTTTTCTTAAAAATATTTCAAATTAAAATATTGCGAGCCACTTCTTCATGAAATAAGCATTTAAAATAATTAAGTGCGATCAAAGTAACATTAAATTTGAACCGTAGATATGAAGCAAATAAATAAAATAAATAAATAAATAAATAAATAAATAAAAGATCATGAAATTAAATATTACTCGAACATGTGAATTCATGCCGCCCAATTCTCAAGTATTTACGTCTCTAAAACCTAAAGTTCAATTTTTATATTTATACCTTCAAAATCTTTCATATTGCTATCATGCATACATAAGAATTGATCGGTGTGCATGTAAATCTTCCCATTTTTTTGGAAGGTCTAAAATACATATCACCCAATTAATCCTATATATTTATATATCTATGATCTAAACTTTATTTTTTTTTTACATATATACCATTTTATATATGCATGAAAAATGTGTACTTCACATTTTGAAATTGAAATGGTGATATTTGTTATGTGATATGAAATATTTGAGCGGTATGAATAGAAAAAAAAAACAAAGATTAGGTGTTACATAAGTAAAAACGTAGGAATTCGGGGGTATTTATGTAAATTAAATTAAAATTAAAATACTGCATTTATTTTATTTTCTTGTTGCAAAACAAGATGAACATGATGGTATAAAATGGATCAATCTCAAATTGTTGGATCTTTTTCCCTTTTTTTAAGGGAAAGTTGGGCCCAAATGACTGTATGCATTCAAACTCACAATCTCACGGTGGGAAAATAAACCAGCAATCATTATGTCACAAATGTGTGCATAATCTATTGGATCTTTCCAATTGGTTAGCATATGATTTTGAGTTTGTTTGGTTACTTGATTGGCAGAGTTAAATATAATTAGATTTTAATTAAAGGTGATTTTGGGGCAACAGTGCGGTGTCATGCCACACTTTGTGATGTGTTTGTCAGCTTTTTCATAGAACTATGGTAGGAAGCTGTGTTTTATAGCTTGGCTAAGTGTGGTGACTACTAGAAAGCTGTTATTTGACTTTTTTAAAACAAAGGAAATTGTCATAGCCAAAGCATAACACATGAGAGTAGGGTTGTGCATTATTTTATTAGAATTAAAAACCTAAATCAAACCAATTTTATATTGTCGGTTCGGTTCGGTTCGGTTCGGTTATTAAAAATAATTGTTTGGTTAGTGTCTATGATTTTGACTTTTTTATTTTTTATTTTTATTTGATTTTTTTTTTTGTAGAGTTGATCGAAATAAAATCTGATAATACAAATTTACTCAAATATTAAATTAACAAAATTCACAAACTATAGAAAAAATTTGGCAAACAATTTATGAAATAAAAATGATGATGTGTTGACAATCTATATTATTTATAAATGTGCAATATCAATGCATTAGTGAGGTAGCGGAAGAGCCTTTGCACTTCTAATGTATGAAAGTGACAATTCATTTTAATTCCATAGAGTGAACATTCATGAATTCACTATTTGTGGAGGGCATTGATGTGTCTATTTTATGTGCCTTATGTTTGGTTAGACACTCATTGTATTGTAAGATATTGTTCTAAATTTAGGATATTTGGATGAGAAAACATGATGATGTGTAAGCCTCGGATATTTAATTAAATGTATTTCATAATATTATTGTTGAAACAAGTTGGCTCACAGGCTATTAATGTATTAAGTCGGTGATAGCCATAGCTTAGCTCATTCGCTCATGAGAGTTCGGCTCATGAGTCAACTTGACTCACCATATATAGTTTTGGTCAAGTTTCACTAATTTTAACTATGTTTGCCTGTTTTATTTAATCATTTGAACGGGTTTAATAGTTTTGATCTAATTGAAGCTGTGTTAGACATGTAAGTAAATGCGCAAGAATTGAGTGGCATGCATGTAAATCTTCTAAAACTAATTTTAATAGTTGATATATTTCCAAATAATATAATTTTAAAACTTTCGTTAAATACATTAATTTTCAGTAAAAAAATTAAATTAAATTTAATTAATATAATATTATGTGTTTAAAAATTAAAAATCAATTTTTTTATCCTTTTAAAGTGGTATAATTAACAAAAGTATCTAAATATCATAAATAAGAAATTAAAAAAAAAGGCTTTTCAATATTTATTAAATCATAAAAAAATACATTTTAATAGCTTCATTTATACTTTTCCCTTGAAATATTAAAATTTATTTTGTTAGGCCAACAATTATAGCCGAGACACGTGCGGTTGAAAATTCAAACATGGAGGACGAAAAAACAGTGCTGGTCTACGTCCCTTCCTAACTTAAAACATGCATGATTGTACGTCGCCTAATATATTAATAATTGACCACATGTTGCATGACACAGAAATAATTACAAAAATAGCGTTTTTTTTTATGTCCCCTACAAATATTAGAAAAATTTACAAATGTATCATACATATTCATACTTATGACATTTTGTTCTAAATTCATACATGAAAATATATATTTAGTTTTTAAAAATTTAGTAATAGTGTTATTTATTATTTGACGTTAGGTATGACTTATATACCATAGGTGGGACAGATGCTGGAGAGGAGCGGAGCCCACGAGCGGAGTGGAGCAGAAAGATCTGTCCAATCGGGGGAGATTTATTATGCGGGTTGGGGGTGCGGGGGCAGCACCCCGCGGTTTGGTACAGAGATAATTTAAGTAATTACATATTGTACTATAGAGTTATATATATGTCATGTTTGTGACCCTATGTGAGTCTCTAAGACTCTGATATCCCATACTTCTAAGGATGCAGGCATCTTTGCCGAATCTCATTAAATTTCTGTGTGTTCTTCTGAATTTGTGCCGATTCTGATTTTTCCTCATCTTAATTTCTCAACAGTAATGAAAGAGAATGCATGCCATCTCTTCACAAAACTAGCTAAGAAATGTAAATACATGCAAAAGAAAATGAGAAAAAAATGGGGAGTACCAAAAATTAAAGTTATTATTTTTTTCAAGAAAAATAATTAAATAATAATAAATTGTCATTATTTTCAAAAAAAAAAAAAATAGCCACTACATTTTTATTTATCGAAACTGCGGTTGCGACAACCACACTCATTTTAGACTGGAGTTATGGCTTGACTTGGCATTCGTTTATTAATATTTTTAATTAAATTATATATTATTTTCTATTTTAATTTTTAATATATCACTCATATCAATATTTACATCTTCATAATTTTGTAATAAATAGCGTCCCAATAAAGCAATGCCAACAGCTCTTAAAGACTGGTCAATTTACAGAAATACCACACAATTCTTATATATTTACATAAATACCACCCACATCTTTCACATCACTTCAAAAATACCACCTACTGTTTTTTTCTTGCAAGGTTAAACAGCTATTTATGTAAGAAGAAAAAATAAAGTTTAGGTGTTAGATATGTAAATAAAGTTTTTAGTCATTTTTGTAAAAACACGAATTACATGTAAAAATTGAAGTTAGGAGGTTAGATATGTAAATACATATGCTTATGAATGGTATGAATGTAAATTATCCTTAAATTAAATTATTAACATGTGATGCATCACTCAAACTAAACATGTGAAAATAAAAATAGGTTAGCGTTGCTTCCACACTCCACAAAGACAAGCTATTGGAGAACATGCATGTACTCTTTTCCTTAACTTTATAAGTCATTTGGGAGTCTTCTTCATGTTTGACTAGCACTTCATTTGCTATATTCTTTCTAATTGTTATTTTACTATCT